AGTTTTTATTCCCCGGCCAAAGGTCGGATACTTTTCTCACAGGCCTCGTATGTACAGCAAGAAATTGCCATGTTATACCCCAAAGTAGACGTGGAGTAATTCAAAAGATTGAAAAGACAGTAAAAAAGAGAAGGAAGAGGCAGGGCAAGATGTTCTTATGGAAATGTGTCTTGAAGAAGCGTTTTGTTAGAAGATTTAGACATTGAGATTGAAGACGTACTAGAAACATGTTTATTTTCACTAATTATGTATTGGAATTGATTAATAACATCATTGGAACTAAAATAACTCTAATATTTGCTAAAATCAAAGCATTCCGAATCTTTCCTTCGATTTTCTGGGAAGTCCGATCGTTTTCGCCCATTTCTCCGTAACCAGAAATGATTTTTAAATTCTGAAAGTTTATCTCGCCTTTTTAGACCATTCCGTACCTATTGCGCATTTTCCCCGTTTATTTTTAATAGTTAAAAAAAAAAAAAAGTAGCGCACGGCAGCCCCAAGGGTGGATTTCTCGCTGACAGGGATCTTAGATTATATACCGTATTTTTCTTCTGGAAGCGAACGTCACATTAAACAGTTTAACTTCTATTCTGTATGTCTCATCTAGAAACGAACGTTACAGTAAACAGTTTAAATTACATACCGTATTTCACTTCTGAAAACGAACGTCACAGTAAACAGTTTAAATTACATACCGTATTTCACTTCTGAAAATTAAAAAGTTCATCAGATAAAGTCTTCCCTTTGAAGTATATTTATTGCAGTAAACAGTCTCATTTATAAGATAAAACTTTATTACTCTGCAGGTAGAAAACTATACAGAAGTAATTTTTTTTCTAGCTTTCTTCCCTATATTTCTTTATTGAAGAATATCAGAGTTACATCGAACAGGAGGGATATGACTGCCAGAAACTCTACTTTTTTCATAAAAATTGGGACAAGAAATTACACAGAGTTTTTTTAATAATAGTAATATTTTCATAATTCTCACTGAAATAATAGGATTATAAGCATAGCCAAATTAGAAAAACAAGAATAATTTAATCAGGTATAAAACATCTTAATCAAACGTTTTAGAAATGGAGAAGCTTTACCGTGCTACAGATTTTATTCTTTAAAAATACTAAATCATTTTTATAATCTTGAAATATGGGTCTGTTTCTTACGATAGTTTGTTGTTAGTGGTTGAAATGTTTCACCTTAATTACCTAATATTCAACTCGTGTTCAGAAAGTTGAAAAAAAAGGCATTACAAATGTATGTAACTAGCCCGAAAAGTTATAAGTTGGTAATGGTAGAGCAGACTGGTGTACATTCCGTCTAAACAAGTCCTTCAAAATGTTATAAACCTAATTATGTTATATAAATTTATCTGACGGAAATGTACATTAGAGTTGGCAGAACGCCACCAATACATTGTACTGTCCGCTATTAACGACGTGTTATTCACATTAACTGCTGCTCTTGATTCTTTTATTCAAACACTATTGGCAGTATTGTCCATGGGGGAAACTCCTCTCGGTAGTTTACACATCATCATTTCTAATGCTATCGACGAGAAGAAGCTCAATTTATCACTTTACAAACCATTGTCTGTAACTGCCCCACTGAACTCATTAATATTTTTCTTGATAGTATTCCTTCTCCTATTGTTCAAAACCTATATGGCCACATTTAAAGGTTCTTCCTATATCATCCAGTGAATTCAAAAAGTTTCATTTTTCTACTAACTCTTCCTTCGTCCTTTTTATAATTGACTTTGGAAACCTGTACGCTTTGATTCTTCATTCTGATGACGTACAAACTTTAGAGTTTTTCGAGACAGAGGAGACACTCCTAACCCTTCAACTGACACTGTACTACGACTAACATAACCCTTACTCAATCTTAACAAGTTCTCGTTTCATGACAATGATTATAAGCACACTTGTGTTGCTATGGATACT